TGGAAATTCTACAAATCAGGCTCACGTGGCCGCAAACTGCAACGGGAAAAGCAACACGAGCGGCGTCATTCTATCAACAAGTAATACCGAGAGAAAGGGAGGAGGAGGGGGGGGGAGGAAGAGAAGGGGGAAGAAGGGGAGGAGGAGAACGAAAAGGAGGAAAACGAGGATGATGGTGATGGTGGTGGTGGTGGTGGTGGTGGTGGTGGTGGTGGTGGTGGTGGTGGTGGTGGTGGTGGTGATGATGATGATGATGATGATGATGATGATGATGATGATGATGATGATGGTGATGATGATGATGAGGTGGAGGTAGAGGAGGAGGAGGAGGAGGAGGAGGAGGAGGAGGAGGAGGAGGAGGAGGAGGAGGTGGAGGAGGAGGAGGAGGAGGAGGAGGAGGAGGAGGAGGAGGAGGAGGAGGAGGAGGAGGAGGAGAGAGCCGCTCGCCCGCCCACACACCCGCGAGGTCTAAGCCAAAGGGCGTCATGAACTTACTGCATGTCACACTACTACCCAGCTGAGACGTGCCTGGTGCTAGGCGCTTGCTCTCTCTCGCTCTCTGTCGCCCTCCCGCTCTCTCGCTCTCTATTTCCCTCTCCCTCTCCTTCTCCCTCTCTCCCTCTCCCTCTCTCTCTCTCTTTCTCTTTCCCTCTCTCTCTCTCTCTCTTTTCCTCTCTATCTCTCTCTTTTCCTCTCTATCTCCCTCTTTATTTCCCTCTCCCTCTCCCCCTCTCTTTCCCCCTCTCCCTCTCTCCCTCTCTTTCCCCCTCTCCCTCTCTCCCTCGCTCACGCGCTCTCCCGCATGCTCGGTCCACAGGTACCTCCGCCATGACTCAACGCTCAAAGTCCCTTCCCCACTTGCAGAGACACGCCGCATCCCTTCCTCTCGCTCTCCCGGCCTCCTCTCCTCCTCTCCGTCTTGCTATTTATTTCCCCTTCTCCCTGGCGCATTCCCGCACACGTACTTACACGAGTGCTCCTGCACAAGGGTACACATGCAGCCGCAAAAGCATATAGAATCGTTGATAAAATTTTCACATTTTCACGCATACGGGAACACACGCTTGCACGCTCGCACATTCATATACATTCGTACACATAGGCCTACACACTTACAAATGCACTTACACGCGTACAAACATACACACGCACGCGCTCGCGCACGCACGCGCACGCACACACACACACACACACACACACACACACACACACACACACACACACACACACACACACACACACACACACACACACACACACACACACACACACACATATATCATCGTCGTCTTCCTGTTCTCCACCCCGCCTCCTTCTCTTCATTAACCCTCCCTTCCTTCTTACCCTCTTCCTTCTTCTCGCCTCCACTTATTATTCTTCTTTCGCCTACTTTATGCCTCTATTACTTTCACTCTCTATCTCACTCCTCTTTCTCCTCCTCTCCTTCATGAACCCCTTCCATCTCTCTTTCCCTTTACCTCACTCTCCTTCCCAACCCCCTCTACCTCTTCCCTCTCCCTCCCTCCACCTCCCTCCCCATTCCCTTCCACCTTCTTCCCTCTCCCTCCCCACCCCCTTTCCACCTCTCCCTTCTCCCTCCCCAGCCCCCTTCCACCTCTTCCCTCCTCCCTCCCCACCCCTTCCCACCTCTTCCTTCCTTCCTCCCTACCCACCCTTTCCACCTTTCCCTTCTCCCTCTCCCTCCCCACCCCCTTTCCACCTCTTCCCTTCTCCCACCCCACACCCCTTTCCACCTCTTCCTTCCTTCCTCCCTCCCCACCCTTTCCACCCCTTCCCTCACCCCCTCGCCTCCCAACCCCCCTCCCCTCTCCCAAACACACACACACACACACACACACACCCTCTAGTTTCCTCTCCTCCGAAATGCAATACAGGATCCGCTTTAGTATCTTCTTATCGCGCTCGCCCGCACAATGAACACGCCTCAAAATTGCCCCCTTGCAAATGGCGAGGAAGTGAGGGCGGGGGAGGGGAGGGGAGGGGAGGGGAGGGGAGGGGAGGAGGAGAGGGGAGGGGAGGGGAGACGAGAGGAGGAGAGGGGAGGAGAGGAGGAAGGGGAGGGGAGGAGAAGAGAGGAGGGGAGGGGAGGAGGAGAGGAGAGGGGAGGAGACGAGAGGAGGAAAGGGGAGAAGAAGAGAGGAAGGGAGGAGAGGAAGGGAGGAGAGGAGAAGAGAGGAGAAGAGAGGAGAAGAGAGAAGAGAGGAGAAGAGAGAAGAGAGGAGAAGAGAGAAGAGAGGAGAAGAGAGGAGAGGAGACGAGAGGAGGGGAGGGGAAGAGAGGAGAGGAGGAGAGGATAGGAGAGGAGAGGAGAAGAGGGGAGGAGAGGAGAAGAGGGGAGGAGAGGAAAGGAGGGAAAGGAATGGAGAGGAGAGGAGAGGGAGAGGAGGGAAACGGAGAGGACGGATGAGAGGGGACACGGAGAGGGCGAGTCGAGGGAAGAGGGGAAAAGTTGGAGAGGAAAGAGGGAGACGGCGGAAAG